GGTGTGATGATGATGATGGTGGTGTGATGATGATGATGGTGGTGGTGTGTCCATGTCTGATCTCGGGGTGATGTCATAGTCCTGTATATGATGGGAGGATGGGTGTGATGTCATAGTCCTGTATATGAGGGGGGGATGGGTGTGATGTCATAGTCCTGTATATGATGGGAGGATGGGTGTGATGCCATAGTCCTGTATATGAGGGGGGGATGGGTGTGATGTCATAGTCCTGTATATTATGGGGGGATGGGTATGAGGGTCACTTGGAGGATGTCTCCATGTCTGTCTTGTTCCTCTCAGGGTGGAGCGGTTGGGGATGTACGGATAACACTCAGGCCTTCACCTACGGCTTCCAGCTCCTGTCCACCCTCCTCCTGTGTCTCAGTAACCTGATGTTCCTTCCGCCCGTCCTCATCGCCCTGCGGGGCCACTACCTCCTGGAAGCTTCCGTCTACATCTTCACCATGTTCTTCTCCACGGTGAGCAGAGACCTTTCCTGATGACATTCAGGGGCCCCGGCCACCTCCCGGCAGGTAGAGGACAGAGACATTCTGACTGAAGATCTGACTCGGCCCGTGAAGGTTCCGCCTGTGTGAATGGAGCCCGCAACGAATGTACTCCGTACATCTTCCTTCCAGTTGGAACGTTCTGCGTGTCATTCCGCATTGTGGCCCCTAGATGGAGCCGAGGAAAGACGTCTTCCTATCCAGAGTTCCTCGGCTTCATCTAGGGGCCACAATGTGGAATGACACGGTGACATTCCATATGACTGAAAATATACAAAGAGCATTCATTCGTTTCTGCGTCCATTCACTCAGGACGAACGTTCACTCGCAGGGTGAATGGCTCTGCGAATAACCGCAACCAATCCACCAATCAGATCCCTCAGATGCATCGCCGGGTCCCCTTCACTGCACACAATGTTATACTGTAACACAACCTTCCAGCTCCGGGGACTGATCCTGTGGGGGTGGTGAGCAGGGGATCTGGGGGGAGGTTATTCG